CTTCCTTTTAAGTTCCGCCGTTTAGTTCTTAATCTTTTGTTCATATTAGTTTTCCTACTCCAATTCCTAATAGAAAAGTCTAATATCATTAACCAATTTTGTGTAGTTAAACTCTCTTCAGGTATAATTTTACAATCTTTGCATGTTAACCATCTATCCTTCTAATAAAAAAAAAGTCTATTTGGCTACTATCCAATGTTTTAAATATCGACTGATAAACCAATATTATCGGTAATATTTATCAGTTTTGGGGGTCTTCCGCTATGATAAGTTCCATTCTAAACCAGTTATCGTTTTTGGATGTTTAACGCCAATAATGCAGTGACAAAGTGAGTTATTGGTCGATATTGTCGGCCTAAAAATTAGAATTATCGGCCTTTGGTTTGAATTTTGATTTCGCGCAACATGTATATATTCAATGCAATTTAAACCTAACCCGTGTTTCTACCATTGATTAGTGATCCTAAACATAATTATTTATATTTTGGTATGTTTATATTTCACTAAGTATGGCTAAATTATATAATTTAAGTATTATATTATGTATATCACCATCCGGTAATGTCACTCCGATAAATACTATTTATCCCTAATATATCCCCGATAAGACGATATCTGCTATCCGATATGGATTTTGACCGTCTTATAAGTCCCTGATAACCGACAGTTAAAACCTTGCTACTATCACATCAGGTTATTAAATGTTCATCCCTTTTGCTAAATTGTGTATTTGTTATTATCAAATCATACGATGTTACAAATTCTAAAATTGATTCTCCCATATTGTTCTTAATTACATACCCAAAGCCTCCATATATCCTCTCATATCCATTATATTCTTGTCAACATGCACATTAAGGTCTCCCCTTATAAACAATCTTTCCTAATGGACTTCCTTGAGTCAGTTCATCTAAGTTATCCCAAAAATGTCTTTTGGCATTCTCAAACAATCCTACTTGTAGAGCATAAACACTAACAATATTAATAACCTCTACTCCCAAAATAATTTTTATTAGTATTATTCTATCCCCTACTATTTTTACATCTACAAAACTTTTTTTATTAGTATTATCATCAAGTAGAGGTCAGAAAAAATTATTTTTATTTAGTGCAACTGTGCAATATATTATATGGTAACCATGAACTATTTCACAAATAAGATACTAAAGAAAAACCCAAAATAAATAATCAAATTATTTGACCATGGGCAATGCACTTGCATTCCGCCTAGTATTACAAAATATGTATGTCTCACTTGGCAGGATCATAATTTGGTACCTGTTTGGTTAATTGCTTTCTTTTTTACTTGCTCCTCCATGTACAAACATGGAGGAAACATACATTAAATTACAAAATTGCGCATAATGTGTACTCAGAAACAAATTAGATTTGACTCCTCTCAAAAGGATCTGGAAGCAGAACCTTTCCATTTAAAAATTTTACGATAGGAAAACACAGTTGAGCTTGAGTTGACTCACTTCATCCAAGTTGGTCTATATTGTTTGAAGAGTCAAAAAATCAAGTGTTCAAGAAAAATTTTGAATTGAATGAGAACAAAATGGAGAGCTTAAATAATGAGGTCAAGATCACAAAATTTCGTAGTGCTTGAGCACATGAATCAGTTTGGACTCCAATCCCAAATTGCATCCTACACCTGTTGTTTAATTTAATGGTTTATAATATCTGGGACCTAGTAAAGTTGGTGTGTAGTTTCTCAAATGTGTAGACTATAGTGACTGGTTAAGTGTGGATTTTGTATGCCAAAAGTACCTCCCCACCCCCGCACCCCTGCCATACACGCACACACGAGTTAGTGTCTGGGTATTAAAACTCTCTTTTTGTCTCTCTCCAACTGTATGTGTCTGTATTGGAACTTTTATATAAGAACCCTGGAACGAGAATTTTTTTCCAAAATTACACTATATGTGACGTCTCATGGATGGTCTTATTCAAACCCAAATAATCCTATGAGTGATCAAGCGATTTCAAGACTTCCTCAACCTTCATACTAGTAGCAAAATACAATGTTACATTAAACGTTGGGCGATTCTAGGCGTCGGACTTGGCGCCCAGCGCTTAGTCGCCTAGGCGGACGCCTAAGCGGTTTCTGGGCGTTTTTTTTCTTTCTTTATTTAAGTGGTGGTCGATGAGCTTTTGCTGAAGGTCGGAGGAGGTAGTGGAGATGTTCATATTTGGAGGTTAATGGAGTTTGGAGGACGTGTAGGCTACGGCACATAAAATCACAATCAAGACCTACAGGATGCAATCTACGTAAGCAGACAATGCTCCCCTAAACGCTTGTAAAATCTAGGTGGGCAGCCTAAATACCGCCTAGGCGCTAGGCGCTAGTTAGGCGGCCTAGGTACCGCCTAGGTCTAGGCGTACGCCTAAGCGGACTAGGCGGAGGTTTTTTAAAACAGTGGCAAAATACATGTTATTTCAGCAATAGGAAAACGGATAGTGGTCGGTGCATAGTAAGAAAGTTTTGTAATTTCTTGGTTTCCCATTCTTAGACAACCTTAGATGTATAGACAAGATGAACGTTGTAAAGCGTATAAAGGAAGTTTTGTCAAGGAATTATTGAGAATTCTTATTGCAAGCAAGAGAACTAGTTCTTAACAGAAGATCTTGACATATTGTATATTATACGTATGTGCAGAAAGACATATGCATCTATACAAATAGACATACACATACACACAAGTTTTTGCTGCAAATGTGGCCTCGTGTTTCCATACCATGGATATAAATATTTGATTCACACATGTTTTCAGGAAAAAAGGATCATCTCATCGATATACTAGCTAGTCCCTTCAAGCTCACCTATGTGTTTCACCACTTAAGTTCCCACATGATAGGAATAAACTAAGCATGAAATTGTGACAGAAATTTACAGCGCTAAAAGGGTTCTCACTGTCATTCTAAGAATTCTTTTGCTTGTTATGTCTTTTAAAACAATGCAATCAGGTCAACTACGGTTTTAAGATAAAAGAAAACTGCAGCATGAAAGTTTCAAGAGTCTTATGGGAAGTGTTCAACAGAATACCATAAGATTAGTACACTTCGAAACATCATCCTAAGGGTTCCTTACTTGTTTATATCATCTGAGGCAATTTCAATTTTAGCCAACCTATAGAAATTTGCTCTCAAACTTAATATTACCATTTATTATCCAAGCTTTATCTAGAGTTTCCCCTAGTATAATGGAATTTCATGAAAATATAGAGTTGAAGCCATTTCATTTACACCCCTAGAAACATCTGGTTTAGACTTCACTTCGTCAGAACTCCCCTAGAAAATAATGTTTCCTACTCTTTGATCACACTTTAAACAATCGCTGAAACACTTCCAATCTGGCCTTCGCATGTTTTGCCTGCCCGTTACATCAGTCTGCCACTATATTCTTTAGTCCAGTTAGCATCTTCTGCTGACTTGCACATCAGAGCTTTCTTGTTGGAGAACTCTAGTCATGAACACACAGGATACACATTTCTATTGCATTTCAATCTACTGGTTTCTAGCCATATTATTCTTTTGCTTCTTGATTCCATGTAACAATTACTGAGGCTCAAGATTGATTATTATATCTCAGTTACCCATGATGTAAACCTGTGTTGATGAAGGAACGTCTAGCTCACCAGAGAGAGCAACGGATTATTAGTCAGCTCACCAGAGAGAGCAGTGGATTCTTAGCCAGTTACTGTTACATATCTGGGACAATGTTCCCTGCTAGGTGAAGGAACTATTTCCACCTTGACAACCATCTATTAGGTGTTCTGCTAGGATTCTAAATAATGAAAAATTTCAGAAAGAAAAAGGTTACTTTGAAATGAAAATTAAGAAAAGTTTTTATGGCCCTTTGATTGTAACCTTGCAAAGTTGAACTAGACTATTCTGTGAGTTTCTTCCATTCAATTGACGCTGCATAGAACATCCTAGCTCCATGTCCAGGAAGTTTCTAGACTCCTCCCTATATATCAATACCAAGCAGTAATTATCAATGGTTCGTTATAATTAAGATGCCCACTTCATATTTTCAGGATATGAGGATAGTCATGTTTCTTTTCATGCATTCGCGTGGGCATATTGCAGATATCTGCTTGGTGCACACAGTTGACTATGTAACTGCTAAATCTGTTTCCTTAGGCACTGCTCTAAGAATAATCATTGACATGGTACATGTTCGGGTCTAAAGAAGAGTTACATTCTAACCTTCAAGGAAGAGCTTATGGCCTCACTGATGAACTGTACAGCATTGACCTTCAAAAGAGTAGTTCATTCAGTAACATCAGAATCCTATACCTTTTCCCTGCTACCAAGTTGATCATCCGCCACTTTAGCTTGCTCTTATTATATGATTCGCATTTCTGGCCTATCATGTGACCCCAAATTATTAGCTACTAAATTTGGCACATCTGACTCATCTGTTACTTTGGCGTCTGGACACCCTTGCACCTTTATTTGGATAGCTCTAGTCCTTGATTACATTAACTAAAAGAAATCACACTGATTCTCATATTCATAACTCCTATTTCTCAAGTTCCATTACAAGTCCAAACCCCAACCACCCATCAAAAAGTTAATTCTTACATTAAGTGCATCCGCATTATCCTAACATATAGATCCATGAGCTCGATTATCTTCACCATCTATAGATCTTCTACTAGGAAGCTATCTTAGAGCAGAATACTCTGTCCAGTTTCCTCAAAGCCATTTTTTTCTGATGGTACCTAGGATAGATTACAAGTAAAACTTTGTACTACTTTTTGATGAAAGACTAGGGGGAAATGAAAATCTAAAGAAAATGAATTAAGGCAGTTAAAATAATAGGAGTTGACTCAGCAGAGAAAATATGATAAAGCCAAATGATAAAAAGGATTAATGTAGCTGCACCTAAACATCCAACACAAAGGTTAGCTTCTTGTCAGTGTAGGTTATCATGTTGACAAAAATGAGTCAACTCTAAGAGTAAACAAATTATATATTTTTTTAGGAAATACCTGTGCAAGAGTAATATTACAAATAATAGCAGTATTTGCATTCCCACCAAGTGCAGGTTGCAAAATGCGAGTGAGTTTGCTGTCCCGATAAGGCACATGACCGCTGCATCATATATTTCCATGAGAAAACAATTTAATTTGTATTCTCATTCAAGCTATATGAAAAAGGTTAATTGAATAAAACTTACCCCTGGCTCTCAGTGCCCTCACTTAGTTTTTTAATTACTGTACCAAGAGTCATTAAACTTTTATTGATGTGAGAACCCTCCTTCAAACGCAAACCTTCAGCCCCAGTCTTAGCTGCACGCTCTGAACCGGCTAAATCGACTAAATTCTAAAATAAATAAGAAATGTTGAGAAAAAATTAAAGATGATATATTCAAAAATGTTCCACAGATACCCAAAGATGCAAATTCCAGCCATCTTCAACTTCTTACATACAAGAACAGATACACGAACAGCATCACAAGAATTAACATCAGCATCATCTTCAGGTTTCTCCCGACTCTCAATTATCTACAGTAATCAGTACATACCAAACATAAATTTAACCACTTTTTATAACAAACAAGTAGAATCTTTAAAATTAAAGTGCTCACCATGCGAAAGATGGTATGAGACCTGCTACTGTAAAGGTTCATGTTAGTTTGTCCAATGTGGCGATGAGCTGCATAGAATGATGGTGTTCATTTGTTAAATGAAAATATATAGAGCAAAAATGAAACAAACGATGTGGTCCTTACATTCTCCAAATTCCATGAACTCTAAGACTTGTGCAGGGGACGTAACAATTTCTTCCCTTAATCCTGCGACATATATGCCTCTCTTTTCAAAGGAAAAAAACTTAATCAGAATCACCTCATGCTAATTGGAAATTTGAAGACCATATTACTAGCTGAGTTATACCTCAAGACTCTCATGGATCTGCAGCTTCCTATGCTCAGGAGCTAACAAATCATTAATTTCCTCATTGTAAATTTCCATATAAGACATGCGAACAAGAAATTCTCGACCAGCATCCTATGGAAAAGAGAAAATAATTAAATTCTCAAAAAACGAAACTGCAGATTAATTATAATTCAGATACAGGGGGATGGAATCATTGATTTAAAAGCTACTTATAAATAGTCAAGCATAGGCCAGTACTATTAAAAATCACCTGAGGTTTCGCTGAATACTAGTACTGATAGCTAATACGAGCCAATACTCAAAATATGTGAAGATTAATTAGTTATATGTCATGCATTACAACTCATATCAGTTCATGACTTGTCTTATTGTCGCGCATATTAGTGATCACAAATATTAGAACTTATGGAAAATCAAGTCGTCTCGACTATATATAAAGAAAGCACTCATGTAAGTATGAGAGGGTTTTAAATGCTAAAGTAATTGAGTTTATTTCTGTTTAAGTGCTTTAAAATAGTAGACGGATCTAGAGTCATGAAGGGCACCAAATGCCTGGAGGCACGAAATGAGTGCCTAAAGTGCCTAGGCGGACAGAGGACACAACCAAGGCACGTTGAAGTGCCACTAAACCAATATTGAGGTATTTCGATCACTTGAGCGGTGGCTTGAATGTTCCTTAAGCCATTTTGAAGACACTGATTTGTCTTATATAGAACGCACATGATAAATTCTGACGTACCATGTGTAAGCCTTTCCTCATCAATATGGGACTGGCTACAAAGTAAGGATCTACAAAACACTTGAAGAAGTTTCATAATTGATGGTCAACTGAGTAAAAGTCTCTATTGCTAGTGCTAACTTCTTGGCCAAGGAGGTATTATAATCAGTTGAAAACTGACTAAAACCCTCTATTCCCAGTGCTAAATTATGGGCCAAGGGAACTATGTACAAGAGAGGCGCTTGTTGGAATTCTTATAACAAGTTGCATTCTCCAAAACATCCTGGATCGGAAAAAGGTATAGAAAAAGAGGCATAATAAATTTTGGGATGGATGGTCAAAGTAGAGCCTAAGAAACTGTTGGCAACAAATAGAAGAAGATCTGACTAATTTAAAAAACATGTGATAGAAGAGACAAGTTAACTATATCAAACCTGTGTTAATAAAGTCACCATGCTCAAAGATGACAAACAACAGAAGAAAATGCATCAGTGTCGTCATTATCAACAATAACAAAGCTTCATTAAACTCAAGGTCCTAAAGGAATGGGAGGAATAAAATCTGCTAGTAGTAGGAGAATGAGACCTGTAGTGATGCTTGGAGATTGTTGCTACATTCTTATTTTAAGGAAAAGAATCCTTCTAGGGCAATTGTAAGTCCAAGCATACAGGCATCTTATCACATTCAGAGATGCTAGCTTTGCCGTCCTTTTTCTGCTGCAATTTTCTTAAGAAATTTAAGCTCTACATGGATCAACTCTAGAGCCTGGAACCATCTATGACACAACCAATGTTACAAAAAGCGTTGGGCGCCTACCCAAAGCCTAGCACCTAGGTAGGGCTTAGGCAGATTTTTTTTAAACTAGAGGCGGAGGAGATCATGCTGAAGATAGAAGTCGGTGGAAGAGGCCATAGGAGGTTGGAGGACGTGGAGGCGATGGTGGAGGCAATCATAAAAACAACCTAAATGTGCAATCTGCATAAGCAGTTCACACTCCCCTCCTAAGATCTAGGCGGGCAGTCTAAGTACTGCTTAGGCCTAGGCGAGAGTCTAGGCGAGCACCCATACCACTTTTTAAAACATTGGATGCAGCAGCTAACATAAAATTTGAAGACAAGATGATGAAAATAGGTGTGAGAAGCCAACCAACTTTGATGTTTTGGGTGGAAAAGATGATAGTATCCACTCACTTTTTGCATCCAAGTGATGTAAAACTAATATTTTCTCCTAATGAAACTCAGGTTTCTTAGGGGATCATCATTCTGAATACAATCAAAAGTTCCATATCTTACAATATTACAGTGAAAGTTTAAGACCAGGGAAAATTCAGACATTGTTTGTGAATTGTTCCATGGGAGTGCAATGATAAAGCTAGTTCTATTTGCATCTTTGGGTATAGAATGCGAAAACTCGTCGCACTTGTGCGTGCCACATTGTCACATTTAACTTTTCTAGCATTTGCAAGTTTATTATTTTTGGAGGAAAAGAAACAATAATCATTTGAGCATTAAACCACTAAGATTTGGTAAAACTTCTGTCAACTGCTTGCTTCAGAAAATTTGTAAAAGCATTAATTGGAATTTTTAGTGATTGAAGCAGTAAATCACAAAAATGTTGTCACTAGGTCTCTGAACCCTAAATTAGTGATTTAAGCAGTAAATCACGAAAATGTTGTCACTAGGTCTCCGAATACTAGATTAGACGATGGTGATTGGACAATTCTCGTATCACATGTTCCTATAAAAGAAAGATTGAAAGAAAATAAGTTCAAGCAATGCCTTGCCATGATCTGGTTATAACCTTAGAAGTGAAGTAGGCACATGTTCACATGTTACTATCTTCACTTGATCCAGGTTCTTCCCTTCAACATTGTTCTCATTCTATTACTTCCAACTTCCAGGCTCTTACACTCTTTGAATTGGTAGATTCTTGGTAGCCTATAACTTTGCATCTGTTTATTGTAGGAAATTGATTGAGTAAATTGATGTGCCGAGAGTTCGAATGTCACATTTACGTTTAACTAATGGTCAGTACAACATTTACGTATATTTTTACTTTTTTATACATATGTAGTACATTCGTAGTCAGTACATGGTATGTACATACAATATAAAAAGAAGTCTAATGAGAAAAGATGTAATAAAAAATAACAAAAGAAAATATGCAAGCAAATGTGGCCTTCCAATAGAGACGTAAAGTGGTTGAATATGTTGGTCAACTCTAGTAGGATGGTAAATTGCTCTATACGCTAAGATAAATTAGGAGTCAGTAGATGGTTTGGGAGTGAGCCACCACCTCTTGGATGCTCCTAAACAAATCATGGACCGCAAGTGGGATGATCCCAGGTTCAAAAACAGACCCTCTCATCGTATGAGTTTTACCACTACTGGTCTGTCCATATGCGAATACAGTACCTGTTTAGAATAAAAGACAAATAAAAAAGAGAAGCAGTCAGGTCCAATTAATGGAATATTAAAGAGTTCTGATAGTACATTAACACCCATAGTATCAATAATTAATGTTAAACAGTGGGATGAATTTCTCTGTAGAAACCTTCCAATAGAATATTACACATGATATCCACGACATCTATGACTTTTCATGGTGTAAGCATTTAATTCCCATTCTCAATCAATATCTAAAGAGCGTGACAATAAATATATCTCTAAAATCAATAACATTAATGCCTAATATTTCAGATAAGGTCCGCATGGATACCTACAGTGGGAGCGTAAAAAAAATCAGTAAGCATCATTATCTTTCAAGAAAAGAATTTCATGCTGAAATGACTTAACATTTGAAATAAATAGGCCCAACGCTAATTTTGATTGATAAAAACAAGAAACAAAGTGTGGGGAAACACATTTAACTTCCCTAGAAATGCTACGAGTATTAAAAAAAATCAATGTTAGTTTACATAGAGCCCGCTTTGAAGAAGGTTGAACCAACAGGCGTGAACTAACAGCAACCAACCCAGTGTTGGTCGTTCCCAATCGGATTCAGACTGGAGTTTACTTGGGCAGCTCCAAGTTGGGTTCAGAATGGGTTTGGTCCAATATGGATCGGGTTCATGATGGTTGAACCCATCTCAATAGAGCAGTTCAGAATGGGTTTTGGGTAGTGAACAACACTCTCATTACACACGTGATCCTATCTGATAGATGAGATCTGCTCATATCACGAGTTGGACAAAGGATGCCTTCAAGCTATAAATAAGATCTAAAACACAAGGCATGGTGTCTTCCATATTCAGTTGCTTCCACTTGATGGCTTGAAATTACAAGGTGTGCTTCTTCATTAACAGCTACAAGACCAATCCTAACAAAAGTTTGCAATTTAACATTTTCTTCCGATTGTTAGGATTTTGAGAAGAGGGAAAACGGTAGAAAAAGTCAGATATTTTGGTGAGAACAACTCAACTCAAATTTTTCATTCTACTACCCCCATATTACATACTACAATGCAAATAAATGGCCCATAGGCCCAAAAGCAATTTGGGTCACAATATAACAATCTTCACCTTGAGACAAATTGCGCCCAAACAAACTAAGCATAAAACTAATCTAAACAAAAACAAACATAAAAACACAACTAGCATAAAGTAGCAACAAAAGACAACTAGCAACAAACTAGAAACAAAGCAACACCGAATTTGAGCAAAACTTGAACTTTGCAATTGGAAGAGGCTTGGTGAGCATATCGGCGGGATTTGACTCGGTACCAATCTTCTTCACGACAACCTTCCCTTCCGTGATCTCATCTCGAACAAAATGATACCGAATGTCGATGTGCTTGGTCCTCTCATGGTACATGCGATCCTTCGTCAAATGAACGGCACTTTGGTTATCACAATATATCGCAATAGGACCCTCAAATGAAGACATCTCTCCAACAAAAGCCTTGAGCCAAATAGCCTCCTTAATAGCCTCGGTAATTGCCATATACTCGGCTTCGGTGCTTGAGAGTGCAACGGTTGATTGAAGTTGAGACTTCCAACTAATTGCGCATCCTCCAAAAGTAAACACATAACCGGTCAAAGACCGCCTCTTATCAAGATCACCCGCAAAATCCGCATCCACATAACCCGTTAGATTATCATTGTTCCTTCCAAACTCCAAATGAGCATCAATGGTACCCTTCAAATAACGGAAAATCCACTTCACCGCTTCCCAATGCCCTTTTCCGGGACAAGAAAGATACCTACTTACCACACTAACAACTTGAGCTATGTCGGGCCGAGTACACACCATCAAGTACATAAGTCTCCCAACCGCACTTGAATATGGAACTTTCTCCATATAGCTCTTCTCATGATCGGATTTCGGGCTCATGTCGGCGCTAAGCTTGAAATGCGTTGCAAGAGGAGTAGACACAACCTTTGTCCTTTCCATACCAAATCGGCTTATCACCTTCTCGGCGAAATTCTTTTGTGAAAGAGATAGTTTCTGGTTGGACCGGTCCCTTATAATCTCCATACCAAGGATCCTTTTGGCGGCCCCTAAATCTTTCATCTCAAACGTCGAACCAAGTTGCTCCTTCACCCTCCGGATTTCTCCCAAATCGGAGGCCGCAATCAACATATCATCAACGTAGAGTAACAAATAGATGAACTCATCACCCACTAGCTTCTTGAAGTAAACACAACTATCATAGCTAGAACGGTGGAAGCCAATACTTATCATGAATGAGTCAAATTTCTTGTACCATTGCCGCGGGGATTGCTTAAGGCCATAAAGGGACTTCTTCAACAAGCAAACATGGTCCTCCTTTCCCATGACTTCAAAACCCTCCGGTTGCTTCATGTAAATTTGCTCTTCTAAATCACCATGCAAGAAGACGGTTTTCACATCCAATTGTTCCAACTCCAAATCCTTCATTGCAACCAAAGAAAGCAAAACTCGTATGGAGGTATGCTTTACTACGGGAGAGAACACCTCATTAAAGTCGACACCTTGGACTTGGCTATAACCCTTAGCCACAAGTCTCGCCTTGTATCTAATATTCTCCGAATTTAAGCCATCGACCTTCTTCTTAAAAACCCTCTTGCAACCTACAATCCTCTTGCCACTAGGCGGCTTCACAAGAGTCCAAGTTTGGTTATGTTGCAATGAGTTCAACTCTTCATTCATGGCCGCAACCCAATCGGTCGCATTCTTCGAGGAGATCGCCTCTTTATAACAAGATGGCTCGTTTGAATCCAAATCTTCGGCAATGGCCAAACAATAAGCATAATCGGAATATCCATATCTTGAAGGTGGCCGGATTTCCCTTCTTGTGCGGTCCCTCACCAAAGCATATGATTGATCTTCTTCTTCCTCATCTTCGATATGAGCATCATCATGATGTGACGTGGCCTCGTCACCTTGTTGGACCGGCACTTCAAACTCCACCTTTTTCTCAAATGTCTTGTCCTCCTTAGTAGTTGGCTCGGATGCTCCACCTTGTGTCTTCAACATAGTCGATTCATCAAATGTAACATCCCTTGAGATGAGGAACTTGGACAATTTAGGACACCATAATTTGTACCCTTTCACATTCATAGGATACCCAACAAAGACGTACTTCTTCGCCCTTGGCTCCAACTTTCCTTCATTCACATGGAAATAAGCGGGACAACCAAACACCCGCAAGTTTGAATAATCGGGAGGCTTATCCGACCACACTTCTTCGGGTGTCTTGCACTCAATCGAAGTGGTAGGAGATCGATTCATCAAGTAGCATGTCGTGCTTATGGCCTCGGCCCAAAACTCCTTACCCAAACCCGCATTGGAAAGCATACACCGAGCTCTTTCAAGTAGTGTCCGATTTGCCCTTTCGACAACACCATTTTGTTGTGGAGTGTGTACAACCGTCTTATGACAAACAATCCCTTCGGCCTTACAAAAGTTGTCAAACTCACGATTGTAAAATTCCAAACCATTATCGGTCCTCAACCTCTTCACTTTCCTTCCCGTTTGTTTTTCCATAAGAGACTTCCATTCTTTGAAGTTCTTGAACACTTCACTTTTCTCTTTCAAGAAATAAACTCAAAGCTTCCTTGAGAAATCATCAATAAAAGTGAGCATATAACGGGAACCATTTCCTCTAGATGGCACTTGAGAGGGTCCCCAAAGATCCGAATGAATGTAGTCCAATGTTCCATTGGTCGAATGAATGGCTGTCGAGAAGCTCAATCTCTTTTGCTTGCCAAGTACACAATGTTCACAAAACTCCATATTGTCGGTGCATTGGCCGCACAACAAGCCTCTCCTACTCAAAATGGTCATTCCTCGCTCGCTCATATGCCCCAACCTCATATGCCACAATTTCGTAACATCCGCATCCGAGGTAGGAGCCGCAATAGCCGCCGAGCCCGTGACCGTGAAACCTTGCAAGAAATAGAGTTTCAACTCTTCTTGATCTCATGATTGTGAGAGCCCCTTTTGACACACGAAGGACTCCACCTTCACTTTGGAACTTGTATCCCTTTTCTTCTAAAGAACCCAAAGAAATTAAATTCTTTATCAAATCAGGTATGTGTCTCACACCCGTCAATCTTCGGATTTTGCCATCATGAAACTTGATCTTTACCGAGCCAATCCCTTCAACCTTGCACAAATTGCTATTTCCCATAAGCACTTTACCCTCAGTGGGCTCATAGGTCTCAAATCAATCTCGATTAGGAGTCATGTGTTGTGATGCGCCCGTATCCATAACCCAACAATTCTTGTCATCAATGTTGGTATCAACCACACACAAAGTATCCACCGTGTCACAATTGGCCACATTAACCTCTCCCGAAGAAGCACCTTTATCCGCCTTTTGTTTATTTTTGAGCTTGAAACAATCGGTTAGAATGTGTCCCTTCTTCTTACAATAGTTACATGTGAGATTCTTGTGTCTTGACTTTGAACGGGTCCTTGAATATTTTGGGGTTTTGTCCTTCGACCTACCCCGATCAACAACCAAACCAACGCCTTGATTTCCTTTCTCCAAATTGGTCATCTCATTATCAATATGTAACTTGGCTTATAGATTGCTCTTCACATCCTCAAGAGTGATTTGATCTCTACTATAGATCATCATGTCTCTAAAAGCCTTATAAGAAGCCGGCAATGAGCACAACAACAATAAAGCTTGGTCCTCATCCTCTACCTTAGCACCCAACTTGTCCAAATCATTTAATAATGATTCAAACTCCGAAATATGATCGGAAATGGATGTACCTTCAACCATACGAAGAGTATAGAGGCGTAACTTTAACCGCAATCAGTTGGTAAGAGACTTCTTCATGTAGATACTCTCCAATTTCTCCCATAAACCCTTGGCGGTCTTTTCCGAAAGGACCTCTTGTAGTGTTGAATTACTCAAACACAATTGGATGGTCGAGAGAGCTTTATCATCCATATCAAGCCACTTCTTATCGATAACGGCTTCAACCAACTTATCTCTACCATATATGGCGTCCTTAATTCCAAGACTGGACAATATGGCAGTCATCCGCACTTGCCAAAGTGCAAAACTCGTCTTCCCATCATACTTCTCAATATCAAATTTTCCAAACATCTCCATTCACAAATCCCAAATTTAACAGCTTCAGATTTAATCAAAACCACCAAACACCCCAGAAAAAGCCTCTGGTACAAACTGAACAGCGATGGGTCATAATGGATAGAATCCCTAATATAAACCCAAAAAACAAAACTGATCGGGACCAAAGAGCGTAGGAGGATCCGATGCAGGAGTCAGAGGGCTTCTCGCGGGATGACGGCGAACCGATGAACTCGAGCTGGATGACGGCGAACTCGACTGTGATCTGGGTCGACGTCGTCGCCGGAGTCGGAGAGTTTCTCGCGGGATTCAGCAGTCGCCGAGCTCGTCGGAGGCTGGACGAACGCGAGCTGAACGAAGGGCGACGAAATCGAGCTGAACTCGAGCTTGACGACGGCGAACTCGACATAGGGCGACGAACTCGAGCTGATGCTCGACGGCGACGACAAACGGAGATGGATCAGACGGCGACGGCGGCTCTGATACCAGATTGTTAGGATTTTGAGAAGAGGGAAAGCGGTAGAGAAAGTCAGATATTTTGGTGAGAACAACTCAACTCAAATTTTTCATTCTACTACCCCCATATTACATACTACAATGCAAATAAATGGCCCATAGGCCCACAAGCAATTTGGGTCACAATATAACATCTTCCGCTTTCTGAGATGTGATTGTGTGCCCAAACTGAACTAGTTGTTTTACAGAATTCACCCCTATAGAAGCTAGTTGTTAGAGGGAGGGAGGGAAACCAAATGTCTTATAAATACACAATTGCCAATGCGAGACTGAATGAATGAACCCTAACATAGTAACATACCACTACATTTCCACAGTCCAGGCACCATGTGGACTGGCTTTGCACTAATCTAGTCCCGGACGAACACTGCAATTAGTTTTTATGACATTGGCGGTGTTGCCACCCACACCGCTCGCTTGCAACTGGAATGGTGGTGTCGGCTCTGATACCACTTGTAAGGGGAACCAGAAGAGCTAGTTGGTAAGAGGACGGGAACCAAGAAACCTCATAAATTCATAATTAATTGAGCCGATGTGGGACTAAATGGACCCTAACGAAATTCACCAATGTAAAGACAAAAACGAAAAAAAAATAATCAATGGAGAGGGTTACCATTGAATCCACGAACAGCCGAAGAAACTATTTCTCCAGTTCTCGCCGCGTACACGTCCGCAGTCTTACAATCCTCCCCAAAGATCCTATCTGCGATCGAAAGAAACCAAGGAGTTTCGAGATTCAGGAGCAAGAATCAGAGAGGACACCAAAATGGAGGAAGCGGATCGAAACGCACCGAACTCGAATCTGGTCGACTGGACGTTGGAGAGAGAGATGGAGTTGCCCGAGATCTTCCAAGGGCTCGTCTTTGATTCCTCGGCCGAGAGGGGCCTTGCCCTAACCGTGACGTAGATCCTCTCCATTGAATTCGGGGAAGAAATGGGGAATGCAATTATTAGGGTTTGGGAGAGGCAAAGAGGGTCTCTGTGCCCTGAAAATTTTCCCGCTCTTAAGAGTGGAGTTGGGGAGAAGAGGAAGAGGAAGGGCTATGATCTGGGGGGTTAGTGAAGAGATTGAGATCAGAGCCCTACATTTGAATATAAGGGGATGGCCTGATGGAGGCCCAAATTTCAATTTGGGCGGTCAGAGTTTGGCAACATATTCTATTGGGACAAATTTTCAGAACCAACCCCTTTCACTATTTAATTGCAAAAACGACCATTTTTGCTAATAATTTAAAAAACCGACCTGGTTTCAGCCCTGTCGCTAAAACCAGATCAGTTTTTAAAAAAAAATTTACGAAACTTCACAGGAGTTGAACTCCCGTGAAGTTTCAACTCCCGTAAAGTTTAGCACACTTTTAAACTTCACGGGAGTTCAACTCCCATGAAGATTATTTTGGTGAATAAACTCCACTGGAGTTCAACTCCCGTGGAGTTGCAGGCCAAATTTCCCAGCGAGCGATTCGCTGGGGATTTTGGCCTGTAACTCCACGGGATTTGAACTCTCATGGAGTTTCGGCCTATATAACACACGCGACAGCAGCCTGTGCCGATCTCACTTCTCTCTCACCGCAACCGCCCCAAACCCTAGCTCTCTCTCTAACCGCCGCCGTCCACATCAAAACCGACCGCCTCCCCCCAATTCCGACCGCCGGAACCCGACTCCAACCGTCGGAACCCCATTCCGACCGCCGGCACCTCATTCCGACCGTCGGAACCGCCGTCATCGCCGGAGTTCGACAGATTGAAGGTAAATTCCTCCCAAAATTATTTATTCTCTTAATTTCTTGTATTTTCTCGCTATTTCATGGTGATTACATGTAAAAATTATATTTTAGAATTTAATTGTTATCAATAGTGTTATCAATAATTTTGTCGATTTTAGAATTTCATTGTGAATAATTTATGAAATTTGCTCAGAAAAATTACATAATTTTGTGAATTTTGTGGATTTGGAGGTGAAATTATAAAAAATCTAAAAATTAGTGTTATATGACATCAATTAGATTTTAGAATTTAATTGTGAATTATTTATGAATTATGTGAAGAAACTTAAATAATTTTGTCGATTTAGAGGGTAAATTATCAATAATGTAAAAAATAGTATTACTACATATGTATGACATCTAATTGCTTTTAAAAAATAGTGTTATCAATAATTTTGTCGATTTGAGAATTTCATTGTGAATAATTTAAGAAATTTTCTCAGAAAAATTACATAATTTTGTGAATTTTGTGGATTTGGAGGTGAAATTATAAAAAATCTAAAAATTAGTGTTATATGACATCAATTAGATTTTAGAATTTAATTGTGAATTATTTATGAATTATGTGAAGAAAACTTAAATAATTTTGTCGATTTAGAGGGTAAATTACCAATAATGTAAAAAATAGTGTTACTACATATGTATGACATCTAATTGATTTTAAAAAATAGTGTTATCAATAATTTTGTCGGTTTTAGAATTTCATTGTGAATAATTTATGAAATTTGCTCAGGAAAATTACATAATTTTGTGAATTTTGTGGATTTGGAGGTGAAATTATAAAAAAATCTAAAAAGTAGTGTTATATGACATCAATTAGATTTTAGAATTTAATTGTGAATTATTTTATGAATTATGTGAATTATTTATGACATCAATTATTTTAGTAACAATAAATTTTTAAAGTCTTTTCGTGTAATATTGATCTTGAATGTTTTACTCTTCAGAGGTAACGATGAACGATCGAATCGTAATTTTATGTTCGTATGATGGGAAGATTAACTACCTCGAAAATAATATGCCCGTTTATGAAGGAGGTGCGACGAGACCATTGTTTATAACAAAATCGTGTACTTTCGATGAGTTGGTTAATGAATTGCACAAACTTACATTAACCAACTCACGTGAGTATCACCTTAATATTATTTGTAATTATCCTGTTGTGGAGAATAGGACAAGTGGCATTCAAATATCAAGTGACTACGATATGAGTCTCATTGGAGTCTTACATGACGAGAAGCGTTCGATCGAATTTTTCATTGAAAACATCAAAGGAATTTGGGCAAATCGTTAAATTATGACAGAATGTATTCCCGCATGTTGGAGGACTCTGATGTTCATTCCGTTGGCTTTTTATCTCCTCAACAAGATGAAGGTTGGACACAATCATAATATATGAGCGGTCCTTCGTTTGTGGGCATTTGGGCCTTGTATTGAGGGTTTCCAATATTGTCGTCCTCTTCTTAGCATTGATGGCACCCACTTATACGGCAAGTACAAAGGCGTTTTGCTTGTTACCACCAGAGTTAACGCGGATGGCGGTTTGTTTCCTTTGGCGTTTGCAGTGGTTGATATTGAAAACACAGAGAAGTAGGCATGATTTTTTGTATGCATTAGATATCATATCCCTAGTGTGGGGGCGCGGCCGATTACATTCATATCTGATAGGATGAAAGTAATTCCAAGAGCACTCAAACGTCATTTCCCGTCACCACATGCACATCGTTATTGCTTGCGACATATTAGGGACAACTTCAAGAAAAAATATGAAAATGGTCAGGTTCAAGATCTTCTTTGGCAAGCCGGTTGTGCAATAGAAAAATTAGTTTATGACCAAATACGAGAGAGAATTAAGTTTATTTCTCGAGCTGCACATGATTGGATCGAAACTAGTCTGGGACCACACAATATTGATAAGTGGGCTTTATGTGAAGATGGAGGGAGACGGTTCTGTATGATGACTATGAACGCTTCAGAGAGTTTTAATAGCGTGCTCAGGGGAGCACACGGTATGCCAATACAGTCACTAGTTGCTAAAACATTCTACAGACTTAATAACTTCTTTCTACGACGTCGCGAACTTGGTGAAATGTTAGCGGCTCGGATTGTGCAAGCTCGATCCTTTCATGTCGTAAGATACAGTTTTAATGAATGGGAGCTCATTGAGGGAATATCACATAGAGAAAATCGCTCTTACAAAGTTAACATGTTAGTGGATCACTCGTGCATGTGCACTTGCAATGTACCACAATTACAATGGATTCCTTGTTCATATGTTGTCGCGGCTTGTTCTGATTTACAAGGTGGTGCGAGGATTTCACATTATGAGTTCGTCGCGGCTTGGTATTCTACTTACAACTATCGACAAACATACAAAGAGTGTTTTCGTCCACCATATGATAGTCGATATTGGACACAAGATAGGCCACTGATATTACCTCCTATGTGTAAAAGGTCGGCGGGGCGCCCTCGTTCTGTACGAATTAGAAATTGTATGGATGACGGTCGTGAAGGAGTTAGGAGGAGAAATAAGTGTAGTAGATGTGATCAACCGGGCCATAACAAAAATAATTATCCAGTTAGGATTAGGCATTAATGTTGTAATTTGTAGCGGTTTCGATCTGTGTTTGTTTTCGTATGTTATTTGTGATTGTAAATTGTAGCGGTTTCGATCTGTGTTTGTTTCCGTATGTCATTCGTGATTGTAATTTGTAGTGGTTTCGTGAGTTGTTTGTTTCCGTATGTCATTTGTGATTGTAATTTGTATCGTTTCGTACTATGTTATATAAATTTGTGATTGCTTTCTTCACGTTGCGCGTTCGTTTGTTGTTTATATTTAACTAGGTGACTATTTTAACAGAAAGATCTAACACATTGTACATTATCTTCTAATATTATTCTTAGTTATATTCATTATAGATTCGGGACCGATATACCCCGATGTTTTGATCCTCCAGGAGAGCCACGTTTCAGACCATATTGGCTCAGGACAGGTAAAACATCTTTTGTATATGCTACTTAGCATTGGTACTAATTTTAATTTTTTGCATTATACTTAATCAATTCTTTTTGACGTGCAGCCCGTACCAGACATCACCATGATCAAGCATTTCCAGAGCCATTCAGCTTGGGTCATTGAGGATGCGAGAGTTCTAGCGCTGATCTCTCAGGCCGGTTTCCGGGAGTGTTCGACGGTTTGATATATTAGGCTTGATTGGCCGCTTATCACTGCACTGATTGAGAGGTGGAGGCCAGAGACCAATACCTTTCACATGTATATAGGGGAGTGCACCATCACTTTATAGGACGTGACCGTCATGCTTGGGCTCCGGATCGATGGGTCGGTAGTTACGGGCACCGATGATCATAGTTGGCCGGAGGTATGTGCTAGGCTTCTTGGACAGGTTTCTGACTTGAGGAGTGGTGCGATGAAGCTATCGTGGCTTCGTCAGACATTTCAGGGTGACATACCAGAGGATGCCAGTATGGAGACGCTTCAGTTCCATGCTCATGCGTACATATTGCACATGATAGGGTGCGTGCTTTTTCCTGATGCGAGCAAGACTCTTGTACATGCACGATGGCTGCCGTTGCTGGAGGATTTTGACGTATGTGGCGCACGATCGTGAGGCAGTGCGGTATTGGCATACTGTATTGAGAACTGGATAGAGTATCCCTGATGCAGAATAAAGAATTCAAGGGATGCTGCACATTGATACAGATTTGGTCATGGGAGCGCATTCATATTGGACGCCCTACTTTACTTGTGCACCGTGACAGCCCGTACCAGACATCACCATGATCGAGCATTCCCAGAGCCATTCAGCTTGGGTCATTGAGGATGCGAGAGTTCTAGCGCTGATCTCTCAGGCCGGTTTCCGGGAGTGTTCGACGGTTTGATATATTAGGCTTGATTGGCCGCTTATCACTGCACTGATTGAGAGGTGGAGGCCAGAGACCAATACCTTTCACATGTATATAGGGGAGTGCACCATCACTTTATAGGACGTGACCGTCATGCTTGGGCTCCGGATCGATGGGTCGGTAGTTACGGGCACCGATGATCATAGTTGGCCGGAGGTATGTGCTAGGCTTCTTGGACAGGTTTCTGACTTGAGGAGTGGTGCGATGAAGCTATCGTGGCTTCGTCAGACATTTCAGGGTGACATACCAGAGGATGCCAGTATGGAGACGCTTCAGTTCCATGCTCATGCGTACATATTGCACATGATAGGGTGCGTGCTTTTTCCTGATGTGAGCAAGACTCTTGTACATGCACGATGGCTGCCGTTGCTGGAGGATTTTGACGTATGTGGCGCACGATCGTGAGGCAGTGCGGTATTGGCATACTGTATTGAGAACTGGATAGAGTATCCCTGATGCAGAATAAAGAATTCAAGGGATGCTGCACATTGATACAGATTTGGGCATGGGAGCGCATTCATATTGGATGCCCTACTTTACTTGTGCACCGTGACCTACAGGGGCAGTTTCCTTTGGCGTACATGTATAATTGTACACACAAATTTTATTTACACTGAATTTGTACTTACATATTCTCTATTCTGCATATAGGTATAACGTGCGGTACGCTAAGTACAGATCAGCGACGCGCCATCGTGAGTTTTACCGAAATGATCTTGATGGCCTCCAACACGAATAGGTAAATATAAATCTCAAGTCGTTATGAATATTATAGTTTTATTGTTGATACTGATAAATGTTTTATTTTATTTTAGTTCAAGTGGAGACTCTATACACCGTCGGAGCTCGATATGCATTCTCTTGCACCCATCTGCCGAGATAGTCCCAACTTGTGGAGAGCCAGAGTTCCATTGATTTATTAGGAGATCATGGAGATGCATGTCCCTGACCGTGTGCTATGACAGTTTATGCTCTCTCAGCATGTGCCAGATCTTGTCGAGCAGATCGATCGTCGGCGGCGACCTACTTCGTACCATACCGACTGGGCCGTAGTCCGTGCGGCCTACATAGACAGGTGGGCTCACAGGTGGGATTTCATCCAGGATACGAGGCCCTCAGCTGTTGACTATACCGCGTATATGCATTGGTATTGGGGTATCACACGTAGATGGATCACACGTGACCCATGACCATTAGATGGACACATGCCATGCCCACCGACAGACAGTTACATCCCTAGTGGGATGAACGAGAGATATTACGTAAGTTTCTACGCTAAATTATAATATTTTTTCCTTGAGTTGGTACTTAATAAATTGTTTACCTCACAGGTCTGTACTTTTGATAGCATTGAGGCTGATATTGATGCGACCGTACCTGAGATTCAGGATCAGGTGGCGTTAGGACTCCTCAGCAAGATCAAGAAGACCATAGCGCAGGTGTTTCATAAGACTCACGTCGACGAGTTCGTAGGCCGTGAGGACAGGTCTCGGTCATTTGGGCAAGCGTACACTCGGCGCCGACGGCCACGTGACGATGGAGTCAACACTTCACATGCTGATGGAGCTGGCACTTCGCATGCTGATGAAGCCGGCACTTCTCAGCCTCATACACAACAGGATACTCAGATAGTCGAGGCTCATCAGCACGGGGGGCGGGGAAGAGCGAGGGGGAGGGGGAAGAGAGGGAGAGGAAGGAGAGGAGCTATATTGGGTTGTATTTAAACTTATTTTGTTAAAATTTATAACTTGTATGAATTTTCAAATACTATACTTTTGTGGATCAATTATAGCTCGATATGTAATCTTTTTGAGTATTGTTTGATTCGTGCGTGTTTAAATCATATATATTGTAGTAATTATTGTTAATAGGTAAATAGTTGTATATATGAGTTAAATAGGTAGATGTATACAAAATAGGTATGTATACAAAACATGCACAGCTGCCTGCATGTTTTGTAAAACCTGCAACTTCACGGGAGTTCAACTCCTGTGAAGTTGCAGTCTAAATTTCCCAGAGAGCGATTCTCTGGGAAATTTGGCCTGTAACTCCATGGGAGTTGAACTCCCGTGGAGTTTTAAATCCTCCAACAAACTTCACGGGAGTTCAACTCCCGTGAAGTTTTTTGAAGAAATTAAACTTCACGGGAGTTAAACTCCCGTGAAGTTTAAAAGTATGCTAAACTTCACGGGAGTTTAACTCCCATGAAGTTTCGTAAATTTTTTTTTGAAAAACCGACCTGGTTTCAGCGACAACGCTGAAACCAGGTCGGTTTTTCTAAATAAGTTGAAAAGCGGTCGTTTTTTGCAATTAAATAGTGAAAGGGGTTGGTTTTGAAATTTTGTCCTATTCTATTGCTTTCGAGCTCCTCTTCAGTTTTGCCCGAATAGCAGTTATAAATACCAGTACTCGTTGGACTTTTAATTCTAAAAAAAGACATATTTCCAACTTAATTTCAGAAACCGACCTGGTTTTAGCCTCAACGCTAAAACCAATTCGGTTCCTGGAAATTTTTTTTTTCGAAACTTTACTGAAGTTGAACTCCCGTGAAGTTTAGCAGATTTTTAACTAACTGCTAAAACTTCACGGGAGTTCAACTCTCGTGAAGTTTTATAGCTTAAACAAACTTCACAGGACTTGAACTCCCGTAAAGTCTTATTGGTTGACGGGAGTTTGTTACAGTGCTATCAACCGCATTTTCTAGAGAAATTCCCATCGTCTAACATTAATCTAGTTCGGTTCTCCTTAATTGTAATTGGTTTAGCAGGAGGAGCCATTGAAGAAGAAAGACCATCCTTTTCCACAAGAATCTCCTCATTACCATCGGCATCAACCTCTTCATGAATAGGAGGTGGATACTGAGCAAAATCATCCCTATTCTCATGAATCCCCCATCAACAAGCTCACCATGAGGGGAATCAAGCCCATCATCGCAATCCATCTCATTTGCGAGTGACTCAAAACCCTAATGGATGAAAACCCCAAATTAGGAGAATTAACCCCTGTTAGATCCATGGGAACCCTGAAAATTTTGACCTCCACCACTCAAAGAACTTGATGAGCAAGAACTTCCTCTATAGGCAGCGTCTTCTTAGCACCACAAGGACTAGTGCTACTCATAACATTTGAGCTTGAAGAACCTCCGTTACTCGGGTTTTTCACAACACCACATCTGAGGGAGTAGAAGAATCTCCATTACTTAGGAAAATTTAGCTTCATGGGAAGTTTGTTCTATTAATAAGACTTCACGGGAGTTGAACTCCCGTGAAGTTTAGCAGATTTTTAAACTTCACGGTCTTTGAACTTCCGTGAAGTTTAAAAATCTGCTAAACTTCACGGGAGTTCAACTCCCGTGAAGTTTCAGAATTTTTTTCCAGAAACCGACCTTGTTTCAGCGCTGAGGCTGAAACCAGGTCGGTTTCTAAAAATAAGTTGGAAATGGGTCTTTTTTTTGGGATTAAAAATCCAAATAGGACAGTTTTGAAAATTTGTCCTTAAAAAATAATTTTTCCTAACCGTTATCTATACTATCTATATTTACTATTATTATAAAAAGAGGATTGAGGTGTTAAAACTTTTAATTTTCTTTTTTGTCCTTTTAAATTTTGATAAATTCTAACTATGTCATTATCTCTAATAAATCTTTCATTAAATAAATATTATTGTAATATACTAAAGAAATAAAAACAAAAGACAAGAGACAAGAGAAGAAGAAAAATTATAATTTTTATTCCACCTCATCCATTTACATACATGGTACAATTTATAGATACATGATGGAAGATAAAAGGACATTGGGCAAATGAAAAGACACCAAGTTAATAGTCCACATACAAAGTAATGTCCACATACATTTTGTCTTTTAGATTTTAACACTCCCCCTTGGACATTACTTCGAGATGTCAATGTCTCGTTAAAAACCTCGCTAGAAAAACCCAGTGGGAGAAAAACTAGTCGAGGAAAAAAGTACACGACATAAGTAGATTCTTGTGTTGCATTAGTTGCCTCATTAAAAACCTTTAGCTAAAAAAACTCTGTGGGACAAAACTTAGCAAATGGAGAAAAAAAAGTACAATTATAGTCCTTCAAGGCGCAATCTTTGGGATTGCATTAAAAATTCGCTCCCCTTGATGATGATAATCTTCTGAGTCTATGCTAAGAAAAACCCAATGGGACAAAACTTAGCGAAAATGGGAAAAATACGATGATAGACCTTCAGGTCCCAATCTTCAGGATTGTTCTTTAAGAATTTTCTTCCCCTGAAGACAATAGTCTTCCAAGTCTACGCATACCAATATTGTGAACATATTTCTTATAAGTTGATGTAGGCAGAGATTTAGTGAACAAATCTGCAAGATTATCACTTGAGCGAACTTTTTCGATGGTGATTTCGCCATTCTTTTAGAGCTCATGTGGATAAAAGAATTTTGGCGTAATATATTTTGTCATGGTTCCTTTTACATATCCACTGCTTATTTGTGCAATACAAGCTGCATTGTCCTCATAAAGGACGGTGGGGGTAATATCATCTTTCGCTAGACCACACGAGCCATGAATGTGTCATATCAATGATCTTAACCATACACGTTCTCGTAAAGCCTCATATAAAGCGATAATCTCTGAGTGGTTAGAAGAAGTAGTCACCATGGTCTACTTAATAGATCTTCAAGAAGCGACAATACCACCACAGAGAAAGACATAACCAGTCGTGTAGTGTGATTAGATATTGTTTGCCTTAAGATTTAAAAATATGATATGATCAATAAGACTTTGGCTAAGAAGATTTGGGAGATCCTAGAGGGCAAGTATTTGACCAAGAGTGTAGAGAACCGCTTGTATTTGAAGAGGGGGCTTTATCGCTTCTAATTAAAGAAGGGG